GCATTACGCGTCCTAAACCACACAAACAAGTCCTAACGGTTTTGTAATATTTATTTGAAATATTGTTTACTTATTATCTGCAAATTATCTCAATATATCTATTACATAACTTCGAAATATCTTCGAATCTACGCACAGAACAACACGCAAATGGTTTACGTAAAACCGTTTTGGCACTTATCCCTTAAGACTTTGGTTGGCTGTCAGTAGTTTTAGGCATACTGTATCGAACAATGTATCAGAGTATTGGACTAACGCCAGTGTATTCAAACTTGGGATATGGTAGATTATCATAAATGTATAGTCGTGTAAGGGTATGTATCTATTAGTGGTTGTTTTTTTATTGGATAAGCCAGTACACGAGCATACTGATCACCTGATGTTAAGCAGTCGGTGCCGCCTATGTACACCCGAAGCACCACAGGTGCATTACTGGCATTTTGGGGATTAGGAATTTAAGTATTGTTGGGCCTCTGGTAACCTCACTCACACGACGAAATACAACGTAAACGTGGTTTCACCTCGGTTTTCTGTGAGGCCGTGGTATCACTACGGCCGGGCCGGCCTATTCGTAGTGGAAGCATGGCTCTCCCACTTTTAAATAGAAATTAATTCTTGTGGTTAGTTTTACATTGCAATAAAGCTTGTTATCCTTTAGTATGCTGAAGGTGATGTATGGGTCTAACTTATCCTTATGGAGTCTCTAGAATTTCCTTTGCAATCTTTCAGTATTTACGTAAAACTATAACTGGTATAAATAAACGGCAACTGGCATGAAACGTGTACTTTTGTGTTTATTATTTCTTTAAACTATTGTTTCTTCACCTCAGACAGCCTTAGGTTTTAGTTTGAGTCAAGCAACAATGTTCTAAACATGCGCTAGTCATTATCTGGCCTTAGTTTTCCAGACTTATCTTGTTCTTAAACGATATCAGAGACCTCGAAGAAATTAGCTCTGTGCCCCAACTGACCGTGGCTACATAATTAAAAGCATTCCTCTTTGTTCGCATGAAGTTTGTGAATGTTTTTCCATTGAAAAAGCTCAACAAATAGTATGATTGCAGGGTGAGGAAAGCATAATGGAAAGTCGTTTATCACTTCAACGCTCTTCGCTCTTCCAAACGACCTCTTTCTATACTGAGCATAGCATACATTGTAGACCTCTTTTTAGCACAGTATTGACAGCGTCTAAGTTGCAAACGGTTGTTTCTGTCCTTTTTTAAGTTCAAACCATGCTTATGAATAGCTAAGTAAATAATTTCTAGCTAATCTGTATTAAGTTCTGTGGTGGTGTAAAAATATTTTTTGTCGAGTATGAAAGTTTTTAGGAAGATTTTCCTAAAACTTGTTAGGTTTCTTTGTTTTGATGAAACATAGCGTGGCTACTGTTTACCCTTGAAGATAAAGATTTTTACTAGAAATTTTGAAGCCAATAACCGAAATTTGCTTTAGTTAAATACCTCTAAACTAGAATATCGTTCAGCAATCTAGGTGACAGAACGAGGGATTTTATAGTAAAGATAAAAATATCCACCAACCATACAAAGAACGTCCAAAAATAATCACGCGTCTTACCCCAAGTGTCTTATAAAAACTGATGGATTGATACCATCACTCAAGTAATGAGAATGATAGCCTCGACACTCTGAAATATTACAGAAAAAAAATGTCTGCCAACTTTCATTTTTATTGGAAAATAAATATGACTTATTTTTTAATAACACACAAATGTTGAGAACTTAGTACCCACAGGATTTGAAGTGTATTATAGGCTTATGGCTCCGATAGATGGATTAGACTCTCATGTTTTACAGATAAATACAATTTCAGTGATAAAATTTATTGACAAAAGCTCTTTACGTTTTCAACAGCATAATCCGCCGCGCGGCCGCTATCGGATTATTTTTAATAAAAACGAAAAGTTCTGAGTTTCCTGTACTGGAATAATGAAAACAAAATATCAAGTGGAATTTTTATTTTTCTGTTTATTTTATTTTATCGTGTAGGTATCTGACTTCAGTTTGATACAAATGTTAACACAACATAAATAAATATAATATTGAATTATAAATCTCTTGTAAATCGAGAATCAGAGTAAAACTTTGTCGATCCAGGGTTGACCTAAAAGGATCCAAGACATGATCTTGTACACGGCTAGTATACTTGCTTCTGCTCGACCTCGACTGAACTAAGATATTGTCAGACATACACAGTATACACCATATTGTACGATGTAACCTTTAGAATAAATAAAGTTAAACTGAGGTCGGGTTAGTCCACAGGATCAAGATAAAAGCGTGTCATGAGCCCTAATGAGAATGGAAAGCGATAAGCTTGCGAACAAAATCTTCGCCCTTGGGAACACTGTGAAAAGGTTCCAAACAAGTATCAAGTTTATACGACACGTTAACAGCACTTAGATTAACGTTTTGTGGCCGTTTTAAGCTGTAATTACATTTGAATTGATCTTGTAATGTGTGGGACATTTATGTCGACTAATGTTACTTAGCTAATGCGAAACTAATGTTGTTATTTTTACTACTTACCGTATTATATTTATTTACTTTCTGTAAAAGTAGATTCGCACTCAGGGCTAATGAAAACTACGATAGGACGTACCATAAACTTACTACGGAAGCGTGCCTTAAAGTCTCTGAAGTCCCATCTATAATATTTTCCCTGTAACAGGCATGCTCTCAAAATTACATTTAACCCCATTTCTGACCAAAATAAAACATCTTGTACAATGACAAAACGTCATAGCAGCTTCGACTAACTATCAAATTCACTAAACATCAGATTATCGCCGATCATCGAAGTCCCAATGACGTGCGTCCCATCATATTGCGCGACAGCCCACTGTCCCTCGGGCAAATACTTTATTGGATCGTTTCCAAGGAAAACTCAATTATGAACGAACAATGTGCAGAAATAACGCGGCGTCCTTTAATGGAAGTTGGGTTTTGTTCTGGTAGAAGTAGGACTAACATCTAAAGTGGGAGTGCTAATAGAAACACCTCAATGATAAATAATACGTTCAGACGTCTGCGGGTACTTTCCTGTCAGGTCTTGGTATGACTTCGTAGTTCATTGTAAATTGATTGGAGTTCCTAAGCTTATTTATAGTTGAGTTTTTAAGTTAAACTTCATAAAATACTTTTTTAAACCTGGAATAGTATAAAGTTAGACTTCAAAATTGGAGCCCGAAAAATTGTCTATCAACAAATTGTGGTCTACTAAAATGAACAAAAGTTTTCTACGTCGTCGGTTCCTACTTAGCATTTATGGAGTTCCATTTATTTCGTGTTGTTTTATTAAAAGCCAAAACAATATTTGCTGGCATTTTGCCTTCAACTAAGCGCTGGTGTCGGACAGAGTTTAACTAACTAAGTAAAGTAAAAACAAAGCGCATTGCAGCGAGCGTCCCTCGTATTCTACTCGTATAACTGTATCACGATCGTAATCCTAGTAAATCAAGCAGAAATCTCGGGACAGAGGAAATTCATTAAATTAATTAGAAGGATCAGTTGAAGCTGGAAAGTCTAAACATTATTATGATACGACAGTGACATCTAATTACTTAGATTCAGCTGACTAAGCTTAGAAGCAAGTTAATTTTAGATAACACTCTGAAGGTGTAAGCTCATGCCATATACGCATGCTACAAACGTATGTACTTAATTCAATGGACCATGAACACTTGAACAGGTGTTCTCTGCCCAACACAATATTAACATAGTCAATTTCCCACGATATAGGCTACAATAAAATTAGCATTCAAATCGAGTCCCCAAAAATAATTTTAAATCGGACGGGGCCAGTGTCAACTTGGCCGAAACGAATTTTGTTTTTGGCCTCCCAATTACCTCTGTTTACAAGACAATATTGAAGTTTAATATTGCTTTCGTTACTGTGTGCTCTGCTTGTGGTAAATCCCAATTAAAATATTTGGCTTAACCTCTACGGTAAACAATTTGAAAGTGTGCATTAGTTAATCGATAATGTCCTATTATGAGAGAATATCTGTAGGTTTCTGCTCATAAATTGTATTATATCTTTTACCTGGCATTTTGAATCTCGTATAGTATAAAGACTGACCATTGAATAGTCATCATGTTGGTCGTAAAAGTATTATACAGCGTTAATGGTCAGTTAGAGAAGTAATAACATCTCCGGGGCCGGTTCCATCGTCTGTGAGATGATCATAGGTGCCGTGTTCTTATTGCACTTGTGTGGCTATTTCTACGCGTCCTGCGTACAGCGTTCTGTTCGCAGCCAGAGAGACATCTTTAGTGTTTTATTGGTACAATACCCTCGGGTCCAGTTTGTACGTCCGCGACGAATCACTGCGAGTAGGAAGTGTCTATCTCTCTTTGTAACAAAATCCAATCTCTAACGTGCAATCGGATTGAAATCTTTGAGACTTTCGACGTATACAAACTTTATATTTATAAAAAAGAACATTTATTATTCTAAATGGGTACAAAAGCTGCAATAATTTCACGCTTGTTACAAAGAACAACACGAAACGAGTTGAATCTGAGGTCTGCTTAAGATTCTTGCATTGCAGTTATGCCGCGTCCGTAGTCAAGCACCAAATTATGCAAACCTAATTTACATTTAAATAAAGGAGTTCTCAGAAGTACCTGCAGTAATATTTAATCCGTTTAACATATTGAAATGCGTGCCAAGCCGTTTCGACTATGATTGTCCATATTTAATTTATGAAAACATTGCATAAAAATGAATATTCCATCGCCTTTTATGTGGAGTTAACAGATTAATACAACATATGTCTACATATATATTTTTATTAATTTGTTTATGTAAAACAGAGTTGGTATTTGAAATTTAGTATCTTTTATTTTTAAAAATCAATATCTTCTCTGGTAAAAATAAAAGGTAAACAATGCGACTCTAATTACATAAAAAGTAAGTTAGATATGTTAAATCCAATATTAGTTTTTAGCAGTATTTCATACTTATTTCTTTCATTACAGGTACTCCTAGTTCACGAGGCATCGAAGGGAAGTTTCTCCCGTGTCTTCGACCTGGAGGCTGGCGATGACACCGACCTGGGTACTCCTAGGACCTCACCTTACGAGAGTCGGTTTCCTATTAACATTGGCATTACGGGATATGTCGCTACCACAGGCGAGGTGAGACTTTATGAAAATGTTTGGTTTCTTTTTTAGCTTAGGCTTAAGAAAGAGAATGATTGTAGGATTTGTGGGACACCTAACTAATATGTTCTCATTATCCTTCTGGTTTACCTACATGATAGTTTCTAAAGTAAGGTTAATGTAGCTAAAATAATCTGAACAGGAACAAGGTAAAATTACACGCAGTCAATTCTAAAGTGTTATTATTGTAATAGTAAAAAGTAATAACAATAACAAATATAGACATTTACTTAAAATTAAAACAACAAGGTTAATTCTTGATTGCACAAATCTGTCTTTTGACCACTTTGCTATCTTTTGTTCTGAAGCAAGGCCCTCTTCATCTTGAAGCAGTGTGTGACTTGCCCAGAGCACTCTAGCTAACGATCTTAGTCAACTTCAGCGCTCCAACGGTTGTTAGACCACGAAGCTACGTCAGCTTAATAACTATGATACGTATTAGGGGACCATACATAATATTTAAAGCTAATAGACTTAAGTAACTTGCACGTAGACACTTGGTATTATAAACGCAAGCTTATTCTGAATTGAGTTTAATTGTCATCAGGTTAAGTTTCATTTCCTTTCTTAGAAAGTGATCGGTCTTCTAGTAATTGTGTAAAAAGTTTTGTACCTAGTTACATTAAGTGAGAAGAAAGTTTTAAAGAAACATTTTGTTCTGGAGAGAAAGTACGGAACTTAGATGATAGCTTTATAGATGAAGATAATTGGGTGTGGACACAAATAATTCTTTGTAAACAGATTTGTTATATAAAACTTTAAAAGAAGTTATTCAACATTGTTGGTGTCGTTCAAGATTTCAAGTTCTAAACTTAAATTAGGAATAAAAACCTATTATTCTGTACACCAGACTAAAACTAAGGTCGCTCCTAAAGAATTAATTTTCCACGGCTTTAAGATATGCAGTAATTTCAAAGTCCCTAAGTGCTTTTCAACTAATTCACAGGGGTTCATTAAAATTGTCTCGCGGAGTGGTTTATACGTATGCTCGTGTAGGTCGCGAGCGTATTCATTCTCTGAAAGGTTAAGTGAGAGTTTGCGGGTACATTATAGTCAGTTAACGCCACTTCGTCTGTGGGAATAACATTTTCTCTATGTTTTCAGACTGTGAACATTCCGGATGCCTATTTAGATCCCCGTTTTGATCCGTCCGTCGACGAAGGCACCGGATTTAAACACAACACAATACTTTGCATGGCCATTAAGAATTCCGAGGGGAGGATTATCGGAGTCATTCAGGTAAGTTTGAGATTTTAACAAAAACTTTTGTCACTTTACTCTAGAGACGCATTTATTTTTACTTGAAACACACAAGGGAAGCTTAATGTAAACTTAATTACCTAGGCAGTGCCAAAAATTTGATAAATTATGGTGATTGCACACATAAAAATAACCAAACGATTTCAGAGACCGAATTTATTCGAAAAACGTGTTGTTAACAAAATTTGGTCACGTAGAATAAATGAAAAATTCAAAGAGTTGTTACAAATTGTAGTAAAAACATCGCAATGCGGAGATATGGAAGACTACAAAGAGTATATGCGTATAAGGACTTAGTAGACAGAATTTAGCTCGTATCTAGGTACATTTTACTAATTAACTCCTAAATTATGTAGGTACACAGACATGTACAAGTTTTCTTCGTTTGTTGAATTTTGGATTTAAGCGTCTGCCGCCGAAGTTTTATCTCGGGAAAACTTCCAACGCGTAAGCATAAATTACTGAGTCAGTGTCAACCGTTAAAAGAATTTGACACCAAAGATATTAAAACAGTAAAAATGAAATAAAGCAAGCTAGATTATGAAGAGGCGGCAGATTAAAATGAATAAGATATAGCAAACGCGGAAGATAAAACTCAGTTTAATGTGAATCTGTATAAAAACATTAAAATTTTCCGCAATGCGACAACAATATTTTTTATTACACTCGAAATGCTATAAGTTACGACTGCAACCGTCTTTCTTATATTTTATTTTTTGAATAAATACTCATTAGTGAAAATGTTGCGGCCTATTTCTTGTGTATGTTCCTCTTTGTGGTTTTATTCTTTGTTTGCATTATCCGCTGTGTTTGTCGATGATACATTCTTTCATAGCATTCCAAAGGGTTGGGTTTTAGCCCATATGTGTCTCCCTACTTGCTTTATATCGGTGTAGGAAAAAAATGTAGGAATCTCCGTACAACATTTTATCAAATTGCCAAATTACTTGTTTAACTTGGAAAATGGAATGAGTTCTGTTAAAAGCTTCTGTTGTTGTATAATGTGGAGTTTTATGTTTGTTTTTATTTTCATGGACCAACACAAAAATGTACTAAACATAACAATGAAATATTACAGACATGTTACATTTTTAACGCTGTTTGTAGACTTGTTCATTGTTCATTATTGTATGACTGAATTTGTGGAAAAATTGAATTTGGTTGTACTAAATATGGTATGGATGGTATCTTCATTAAACTGTACAATTCTAATTTCATTGTCTGCTTTCTTCATTCTTTCTTTAACAAAGCTATCTACAATATTATAGTCTGATATGCTTAATTTGTTTTGAATTTTACTTTGTGAAGAATTTGCATGAGTCTTCATTTCGAATTAAAATCCTTTCTTAAACTACTAAGTGGCTCGAAGAAATCTTAGAAACTATGGAGACGTTTTGCGGTTGTGGGTCTGCTATAAAACTTGGAAAATGTTTTTGTTATCACAACAGTTGTTAATGCAAGTTTGTTGGTAAAACGAATTATAGCAGCTTAATGTATCATCATACTAAAACATCTTAGACTTTAATGAGCAGATGGTTTCATTAAAAAGTTTGAGGCGAAACGTTAATTCATTCATTCTTCATAACAATTTTATTGTCTTAAACAAAATTATTTCAAAATTTTATGTCTAATATTTCAGTCGTCATGTCGCCACAATATTCTGATCAAAATGAACAGCAGGCGGCGCTAAATAACAGCGAGATCTAAAAAACAATCCTTTAAAAATAGCGGTATTAATAGAATAATAACAAATGATTAAATATTCTTATAAAATATGTTTTTTTTCTATGTCGCAAATAGTATTAAACTCTTTCACTGTCAGACTATGGATACGAAATGTCAATTTTAAAATATTTCCTTATTAGCTATGCCTGCGACTTCGTCCGCGTGGAAGAATGATCCACAGCTCCTAGCCACAGGTGATAGCGTGATAATATACATATTATCACGCTATCACCTACGGGGCTACTAGGCTACTAGGCTACAGCCTAGCCTATATGTTGACCCGACCTATCAGTAATATTCATGCAAAAGTTGGCAAAATAGCTAAAAACCATATTTTTGGCTTCGGTATCCATTGTAGATCACGCCCCGAGCATTCTTTTATATAAATATTCAATGTACAGTTTTCACTATCCTACGATTTTATTATATGGATAGATTACTTTTTACCTCTTTGTTTTAAATTAACTTTACTTTTCTTTTCCAGTTAATCAACAAATTCGATGAGCTCCTGTTTACGAAGAACGACGAGAACTTCGTTGAAGCGTTCGCGATATTCTGCGGTATGGGCATACATAACACGCATATGTACGAGAAGGCTATCACCGCTATGGCGAAGCAGAGTGTTACTTTAGACGTAAGTAATACCTTTGTCTTCAGAACCATTCAAAGTATCTTTGTATTTAGTTTCATCTGGTATAGTCATATGAGTATTATTTGAATCGATTTTAGTACTTTAATTTTTGCCATTGTCAATATATAAATTAGCAGCACTGTTACATTCAATTGGTCATAAATGTCTTTCGTTGAAACATCAAAAACGTAGCTATTGTAGCTTGTATTGCTTCATGATTTGGACTAGAATAATAAAATGCCCTAATTGTTTTAGTTAAAGCCTTCAGACTAAGTAGAACTTAATGCTAACCGGCCTAGATATAATTGTCTATTATTCTACAGTACAGACCGCCTACATTCATCTGGCACTAGTCCAAACTCCAACTTCACACTTAACGTATTATTATTATACGCTACTAAAATTTTATTGTGACAGCTTTACTTGAATTAAGCTACTATTTTCTCTAATGTTAGTAACATAAGGTACATTTTAGATGAATAAGTAATTTGTTTGATTGCAGGTACTAAGTTACCACGCATCCGCATCATTAGACGACGCTCAACGGCTACGGGTGAGTTCACAACACAAATGGTCATGATGCAGTAATCTGTTCTAACTACACACTGGAATATAAACTCAATCTAGATGTGTCTAGGGTTCACAATCGAGTTCATTAGGGTCTTAAACAGATTGCAGAAGCGTTCGATGTATGTGCCAGGTCATATGTTCTTGCCTGTAGTTTACAAAGTATGTACCTCGGAGCGAAATGCCTCAGCCAGTCATATAATTAACAAACTCAAAGTGTAATTAGATGAACATGTTTATGTTAACAGGTTTGTTTCAAACTTGGTTCATGATTGCTCACTGAAAGTTGGTACTACCGGCTTTGCCTCGAGCGTTGTGAGAAATGAGATTTCGTATTCAATTTGTACGAAAAATTCTTTAATGTAATTGCTTTTCTGTGCCTATGTGGTGATTTAATTAGACGGAAGATTTGTTTTAATTTTGCATTCAAATGATAAAATGAATTTTATCTTGTAAAATACCATATAGTATTCTATTTCGTATGTAGTGCCGTACCAAGTGAATTGTTTTAATACTGAAATAAGGCGAAATAATAATGTTGATTTTCTTATGAGGCATTATTATTAAGTAATCAAGTATTTATTGCATCCATAATGTACATTTACAGGTGGTTAGAAAATATAATTATGTAAAAAAGTAACAATTATGGACCCTGTCGGGCACAGCAACATTTAAAATTGGTAGGAGACCTATTATAGACCTATTAGAGGTATTATATACATATGAGTGCCTATAGTTATATTTTTCGGCTCGTAGGTACATCGTACGCTTTATACAGACAGCTTCCACATACCAGTAAAATACCACTCGGTAGAACTGTACTACACAAAGTAATTTGTAAAATTATAAAACAAGACAATGTAACTTTATTCTTATTACAATTTCGCTATCAAGTAAAACAATTACGTTCTCCTAAAAACTTACGAGCTTAATCACTTCCATTAAACCGCTGGAGGCCTGTTAGCATAGCTCGAAGTTCTTGCAAAGTTGGTCACATTGTTTCAGCCATTTTAATTCGTACCTGAAGACTTGTATGCGGTAATTAAATTCCACGCGTCACTCACGTGGACCATTTCATATTGAACCGCAATGCTCACGTAATTGACTTAATATTTATTGATAACGGGCATTCGTTTACCGTACGACTCGACGGTAATCATTTTAACTGTTTTAATAAACAGCTCTGTTTAAATTAATTACTAAATGGTTTGCTTGTGTGTGTTTGGTGTGTGGTGCTGGTGTGTGATTGGGGGAATCTGGAATAATTTACGCGATTGATGTTTTATGCTGCTGTTTATTTTAAAAATTTTCGTTGGTTATTAAATATACTTTTTATAACAATGTTGAAGGTGAATGATAAGTACTCACCATATCTAAAAATAAAATACGTACAATAAACTTTATCGTCTGGGTTTCCCTAAAGGAATTCCTTGGGAAGTCCTGGTATTTAAAACGGGGACTATTCTCAAAATGATAGTTATAAAACATTTCCAGGGTGTTATTTAATTTTGTAGTTTGAAGACTTACGAAAGTACAATTGCTACTACTCTACACACAACACACGTCAAAGCAGCCAGTCATTATAAAATTTTATGTAATTTCATTTATTTTTTCTACAGACGTTGAGAATACCTTCGTCCGCCCACTTCAGTCTTCATGAGCTCGCCTTCGATGACATCGAGATGACGGACGACGACACATTGAGGGCGTGTCTCCGTATGTTCCTAGACCTCGACTTTGTGGAACGGTTTCACATAGATTACAGCGTCCTCTGCCGATGGCTGTTGAGTGTGAAAAAGAATTACCGCAATGTAACGTACCATAATTGGAGGCACGCGTTCAACGTCGCGCAGATGATGTTCGCTATTTTAACGGTGAGTTTTTTCTATGTGAATTTCTTTGTTTGGTTTGATTTTGTTTACGACTCGTATATGACTGAGGACATAGTTTCGAACCCCGTTGGAGTTTTGTCATATCAATTAGTATTCAGGATCAACACATCAGGATTGTACTCTACAATACCAATAACACAGTCTATATTCTTGACAATCATTGCCCTAGAAAATAGAAATACAGGTATATAGCGAATAATAAAAGGTGAATTGATGGATATTAAAAACTGACAGCTCATTGTTTATCCATTAACAGAAGTAACGAGGAGTGAATGCATATTTGCATACCTTTTTTATATACATGTAAAGGTTGTAATAAAATGTATTTATTTCCAAATTTGCTAGCTCTTAATGTGTGGAAGTATGTTCAAACGCGAGTAATATCTGGCCTTGCTTCAGGAGACGCAGTGGTGGAAGATATTCGGGGAGCTAGAGTGCCTGGCGCTCATCATCGGATGTTTGTGCCACGACCTTGATCATCGGGGGACCAATAATTCGTTTCAGATCAAGTGAGTTCTATGCCTTTTATAATAAATAGTACTCACGTTGTTTGACGAGGTAACTGGATCAGTTTTGAGCCACACCAGGGGCCTATAGTCAAAAGCAGCATTGTACGACAACCGAGGCGGTGAGGGCCACGCAACCATCTGACGTTATCTGGTTAAAAGTATAATATAAAAAAAAATACTATATTAAACATAACATCACGTCTTTTACCCCCGAAGGGGTAGGCGGAGGTGCGCATTATGCTGTACAATGTAACACCCAGTTTTCACTATTTATGTTATGAGTCCCATGTAATAGGGGGTGAACCTATTGCCATATACCTGACACAATTCCAGACTCCGTGCTATTAATGGAGATTTTTATGAAAAATCGCAGTAATACTTTGCCCGACCCGGGAATCGAACCCGAAACCCCTTGCCCGGCAGTCGCACTTGCGACCACTCGGCCAACGAGGCAATTACTATATTCTCCCATTGTAAACCTCGATACATGTTTTAATGAACTTTCTTTCCGTTCCAGGGCGTCGTCACCATTGGCACAGTTGTACTCCACCTCCACTATGGAGCATCACCACTTCGACCAATGTCTCATGATCCTCAACTCGCCTGGAAACCAGATCCTGCTCAACTTATCTTCGGATGATTACGAGAAAGTCGTCAAAGTGCTAGAAGATGCTATCCTCTCTACTGATTTGGCTGTGTATTTTAGGTAGGTTCTAGATTGACTTAACACGAGACAGAAAATACGTTTTGAAAGTTTGTTAAGTTTTATTCAAGGTTTCGATTCTAAACCTTGAAATTGTCGCGGAGAACCTAACGGGTTACCGGGGCTCTGGCTCGACGTGCAGGAGAAGGAACGGGGTGGTTTTTAGTCAGTAAGAGTCTGACACTCCCTCCCGCCTCACCCAGGCGGGAGCAGCCAATCGATGTCCCCCCCCCCTTAAAAAAACCTCGAAATTAACCTCCCTAAATTCGTAGAAGATAATAATATCGACGAGTGTATTGCTAGGACATTAGAACACCCATATCTTCAGTGCACTACGTCTACGTATTTACAAGTTGACAGATTATACGGACACTTTAAACCAATCCTGCTTTTCAAGATTTTTACAAATATGCTAGTTTCACTTAATAAATAAAATCCCTATCTTCATTTCCAGTAAACGCAAGGCCTTTATCGAGCTGGTAAGCACGGAGCGACAAGTGACTCCGAACTGGGGTGAATGTGAAGACCGCCGCGGTCTCCTGCGAGCAATGCTGATGACCGCTTGTGATCTCGCTGCGATCACTAAACCTTGGCCCGTGGAACGACGAGTCGCTGCCCTTGTAGCTGGAGAATTCTTCCGACAAGGAGATTTGGAGAGACAGAACTTGAACTTGACACCTATTGTAAGTGAATTCAAATGTATCTTAAACTGTAAAATTTTATATCAATCCTTACTAATATTATAAATCTGAAAGTGAGTTTGTTTGTTCCACCTTCACGTCGTTACTACTAAACCGATTGCATTGATTTTTTGCAGACGTAAAGTTAGTAGTCTGGATTAAATAATAGGGTACTTTTTATCCCGAAAAAATTGATATTCCCGAGGGAAAACGAAAGTATTGGTATAGATGGCGCTGTATGTATTGTATATACATTGTATAATGTCACATAGGCTACTTTTTATCCTTTTGTGACGCGAGCGAAGCCGCGGGTAAAAGCTAGTAGATAATAATTGGACAACCGGTGATTTCCATACGCAACAATGTTTAATAACGATTTTGTATATCACTTCATTCATGTTAAAACAATCAAAATCGATTATAGTTATAGCGTATAATCAGTATGATAAAGATTTGTTTATTAAAGGAAGTGATAATTACTATCGCTATTTAATAACGATAACATAATGTTTTTTGTAAATTCCAGGACATAATGAACAGAGATAAAGAAGACGAACTCCCTGCTATGCAAGTCAAATTCATCGATACGATCTGCCTGCCTATTTACGAGGTAAGATTTTCATTACAACCGAAACCTTATTTTCTAAAGATTGTTATTATATATAGTGAGACTAGATAATAACCTGTTTCTCTCTTATTCCAGGCATTCGCAGTTCTATCGCCGGCTTTACAGCCGATGCTCGACAGAGTAAAGAGTAATCGCGGCCACTGGATCGACCTCTCCAACAACGACGGCGGGGAAAAGTTCGATTACGGACTTGATAAGGAACCGGAGAGGAACGACAAATCCAGCATCAGCTCACAGAACGTTGATGACACAGAGAACACGTATGAGGGAGATAGCAGTGGCGCTGTCAGCCTCTCTTCAGAAACAAACTCCAAATATGAAAACCTCGAGAACCCCGTCGTAGGACTTCTGTGCAACAACGTCCTCACCCTCCGAGACCCCAACAAGTTCTGTCCACTTAATGACTATTAAAATCCCGCTAAAGACAATGTGATAAAGTGTACAGGCGGGCTGTTAGTGCTCCCACGTTTCAAAGGCCAATAGCGAAGCCAAATCGTCCATTTAGGATGTTAGAATTAGAACTCTAAGTTTCTAAGCATCTAGCACAACTAACAAATAAATTTCACATCATTTTAAAGTTAATTCATGATTCGTTCGTATTGCATTTTAGTATGAATTTATTTGTCATTTTTGCATTGTTGTCCATTTGTTTATATCTCATTTTCATGTAGCCTATTGGTCCGCTTGGAATGTTGGGCGATTACGTGAATATATAATATGCAGTTCACGCGATTTTCAACCGACAGTTGTGTGATATTCGTTTAGTAAATAGATGATTTAGTCGAATTTGAAATTTATCTAAACGCATGGCGTAATTATCGATAAGTTGTCATGACCATCGCCGCACTATTTTTATACACTTCATTTTGTAGCTTTACAATTTTAAGTACCTATAAGAGGAAATTTTACAAATAGGTATGTAATGTTTTTAATTTACCTCATTCGTCTATTCCTACTACGTATTACATGAAGTTGTTTCGTGTGTCGATAGTTTTGGTATCATTTAAGATACATACATAATAATAATATTACAGCTAATGAAATATTCAATTTCTCATAGAAACATAAATATTTCGACGTTTAATTAAAATACTCTAATCCACGCTGACCGCAGTAAGTGTAACAAAACAGGGCCTAACTGTCGTGACGTAGTTGATATATGACCAAAATACCAAAAAGTTTTTGTGTAGATGTTATACTAAAATCTATATTTGTTTTATTATTCGGATATATCATTAATTCTTTCATACTTTGTATTTCATATGAAATTTAAATTATTATTAAATTCTATTATTAAACCTCTGATTATGTGTGTGTGTGTGGGGAATTATGTAATGCACTTGCGACAGTTTGTGTAAGTAATGTCAAATGATAATTCTACAGTAGCACAACGTAATGTTTTGTAAATAATTAATCAATGTTATAAATTCTGTAATACTAACGTGTTGTAATTTTGCTAAGTACTTATTATAAATTCGGGTTTTCTCTATTAATTGTACCTACATGGATAATTTTGTTTCTAACTGACTCATTTAATTGTATACAGTAATTCGATGCACGTAAAAATAGACTTTATTTCAACGGGATTAGATAATTAAATCAAGTTGCTGAATACGATTTGTAAGTCGGGATATATTAATTTTATCTGCTTATAGGAACTGTGGCCTCGCATTGATTTTTCAAGACAGTTACGGCACCCTCTGATCCATTCCAATTCTATTTTCGATTTTAAAAATAGATTTTTGCCTCCATTTTGTTTGTGTTGTCCAGTAAGTTTTTATAGAAAAAAGTGTCAATTATAATCTACATACAGAATTTATTGTTTATGTCCTTTTTATAAATATTTGTAGAAAATCAGCTAACTTTGTCAGTTATTTCGTTGGATGAAGGCTACCGTCTTTTTTCGCTAGATGGCGTTACGTTAACTAAAATCCTGTTTGTTCAATAGAGAAATACCTAGTGTCAAGCTATTGGACATTCTATTTTTGACAGCAACAGTGATTGGATATACAGATATATTATGTCACCATTAGTGAGCAAAACGGTAACCTTCATTGCAATGTTTTCGAAAGCACTATATTTAAAAAACGGACATATGCTTGTAGTTGTTCTTCTAGTCTTTTGCTAAATTTGACTTTCAAATCATGTTTTATGTTCGTTCGTTTTAAATCTTTAAATGTATAGAAATTCAACAAAATCGATTTTGATTGTAAATGTCGTATTCGTAGACAGAGGAGAAAGAGAACCAATTTTTATGAATAAAGGTGTTTATATTTTTTATCTACTAGATGGCACTACTATAGCTAAATGAAACAAAAGAGGAACAATGGGTATGCTACTTTGCAATATCTATTTGATATTTTTGCGGCATGTTCGAAACCTATTAAGTTTGGATATTTTCTCTAATATTATTCAACTTAAAATTCCAAGAAAATTTAAAGTATTTCATCTCCATTTTTCCCTACTTTTCTCCCTTATTTATCATTCCAAGTTATCCTTTTGCTAGGCAGCGCCATCTAGTGAATGTATGGTTACCTCTACAATAAAATTGCAGGGAACACTTTTATGTGCGTATCTGCCTAGCTGGAGTAATATGGTCTCATTTAATTAGGACACCATGGTCATATGACTAGTCGCTCAAACATATTGTTTACAGAAAGACACCCGAATGAACAATAGGGCTGCTGATAACCAAGATTTGTTATATTATTTGGGCAACCAAGTTGACACTACGTGAAGTACCCTATGCTGCGCACCTTTTTTTGTTAGAGCGACCTGGTCATAGTCCTAATGAAATAAGATTCATTTTATTATAGTCTATTGAAGTACGACATCTATAATTACAACATATTTATTTACAAAGTTGTAAAACATTTTATTGTAACAATGAAATCGCTTTCTTCTCTATACAATGCTTCACAATTGGAAGCAAAACAATTTCGACTTGTTACGTCACTATTTCGATCTTCTATTAATATAATTATAATATTATATTAAATAAAAAAAAATATGACCAAATCCTCCATGAAGAAAATTGAAGAAATAAAAATATATTTTGTAATTGGAATAATTCTCTCTATAAGCATTAGATATTTACATGAAGAAAATCTCAAATTAATTGTGGTTATAAAACTATGTACAACATTAATTTTAAGATTACTGTAAGTATTATTAGAAAGTAATTAGAAAATTAATAATTGTAATTCACTAAATGACGAGTTGTATGGTGTGTGAATAATTATGGAGGTTGTTTTGTTCCAAACAAAAATGTTATTTATTTATGATTAAACAAATTTTGAAATAATATACGGTTTTTATTTGTATAACTCATCATCTAATACCTACAATAATAGGAAAAGGCTACCTCAGGACTGTGGAATGCCAACGCACGTGCCAATAGCTAAAGAAATATCATAGGGTCATACTAGATGGCGCTCTGTAGATGTTTTCTGGCAACTGGTCGAATTCCATGTCATCATGGGACTGAGGCAAGAACTTCGACAGAATGATAATTCAAAAAAGGAAAGGTGTTTTAACAATAGACTAAACAATGGTTAACCTATTTTTTTAAGACACAAACTTCTTGCTTTGCTAAAAAAACAATATTAAACTTCAGTGTCAAAAACTTGTAGTTGGATCTATAAATAAAACATATTTTAACTATTTTCATATTACAGGGAGTTAATAATTTATCAACTAATTCAATATGCCTATAGACTTAACAAACCCCGCTACCATACGGGTTTTAAAGGAAGCGTATGAAAATGAAACGCGTATCCGTGTACAATGGATTCGCAAAAATAAAGATCGAATGAAAAAAGCTGTTACTCTTGAAAGGGAACTAAAGAACCACTATGTAGAAGACGTGTATAGACACAACATCTTGGGAGTAATGCCTGTGGTCACTAGGGACCATATAAACGCAGCAGTGAATCGCAGAAAAGTCCCCTGCAGAGACGCCAGATCTTTGCCGGGGGTCGCAAATATGCTACATGACCATTCACTCGTCAAAATTGGCCTTGGTGATGCTAAAGACGATCCCAGACTCGCCAGACCAGACAAAGACCTAACTCCAGATCCTAAGATGCGTCCAATAAACCCTAAAGTCAAAAAAATATTATTGCAACCGAACAGTAAGTTTGGCAGGGAACTGTACTTGAAAGAGAGGTACAAATTATTGCCAGAAAAGAGATTTTATCTTCCTGAATGTACTTATTGGGATTACGGTTGGCGGATGAGTGATAGTAAGATGGTGAATCCGCGTTCATATGCCAGGACTTGGCTGTTACAAAGGACACTGCGCAATCGAGTTGGGCCTCAGCCAGATCCTTTTTATTATCAGATACCAACCGTTCCTGGTTATGCGAAGTGTACTAATAGTTAGATCAAGAATTTTTAACAAAGCCTAATGAGTTTACTTATTCACAGGTAATTTTGTATCAACTATACCTAAACGTGTACCTTCTTATCTGGCAATTATGCCCTACCTCTCTTATGTCTCTTATGTGGAATGATCTGTCGTCGGCGGTATTTCCGAACCGATACGACCTTCAAACCTTCAAGAAAAGAGTGTATTCCTTTTTAAAAGGCCGGCAACGCACCTGTGACTCCTCTGGTGTTGCGGGTGTCTATGGGCGGCGCTGATCGCTTACCATCAGGTGTTCCGTCTGCTCGTTTGCCTCCTATTCCATAAAAAAACCTCTTATGGTTTTTGAAGAAATAGGTTAGGATGTCGTAGTTCCTCTCGTACCTTATGTACCTACCTATATTGTATTTTTTCATCTAAGTTACTTTATAGGTAGGTAGGTAACTGTACTTAGAAGTTCTTATACTGAAAATAAGGCTTATATACAATAGTTGATTTCGGTGTTACTAAAATTCTATCTTAAAAATACCTATTCTAATATTTGTGACTTGCATAATTATAAATTTTATGAATTTACTATTGCTTGTTTACTTTAGTTTGTGTAGGTATCTAATATTAATTTATAGGATAATATTTATTTTTAATTTAGTAAATTCGTTTTATGTTACCTACTTATGTATTTTAAATGTTAGTTTAAATATTTTTGTAAACAATTGTTAGTTATTGAATAAAGGATTTTATGTGAAAATACAGGAAGTTTGATTTTTTTTAATCATTTAAATAGTCTTTGCTCCCCACGGTTCCACAGGACTATTTCCTGTTTAAATTTTAAATTTAACAAGAAATGATGAATTTGTATGTTTAGCATTTTTTAAATTTTTTACCGTAACACAAATTAAGCTGTATAAAGGAGTAGCTACGCGTAAAAGAATTACGTGTATAAATCGAAAACCACAAAAAGTTTTGTTCCGGGAATCGTACCAAAGACTTTCGCTACGGCCTCTCGCAAGCATCACCTATTCTAAGGTCACCATATTAGCATTAT